CAAAAATTGACGTTAAAATTATGCAAATAAAACAAACCATAAACAAATTTCAAATAGAAAGCAAATTTCAGATAGAAAGCAAAAAAATTTAAGTGCGCCACTTTTTTTGGAAGTCAGTGTATATATGATTATGCTCAAAATCGATCTCGTTTATTTTATATTATTTTATTGCTACTTACGAGTTCTAGTCTTACCTAGTACTAATTAATATCAATGTGCATGGTAATTTTTATTTTTTTACCTTTTGTTTGTTTTACCTTTGTTATGAGTACCTGTGTATATTACCAAAGAGTGCTAGTTTTCATTTATTTTTTGTTTCCATTTGTCGTACCTTGCTTGTACTATTTAATACCAATGTTAATGGTAATTTTTATTTATTTACTTTTTGTGTTTGGGTACCTGTGCACAGGGCCGGGCCTAAGGGGGGTGTAGGGGGGGGAGTCACCCCCCCCAAGTCTTGGCAGTTGGTTCCAAATCCAAACACGGTTGGCAAAATCTATAGTATTTAGGTCGGTTGGTTGGGTATACCTACCCTACCAACCAACCCATCACAATAAATAAAAATGAAATATAATTTTTTAACTTTACCTACATATTACAAAATTATAATTTTTAATCTATTGTAACCTCCTATAATCGGTACCGTCAAGAAAATTGTATTGGTCAACCTTATTTTTATTAAAGGACATTATATTTCACACAAGCGGCATGTACAAAGTCGGCACCGCCTCGCGGCTTTGTCTTTGGTTTTGGCGGCGTTTGACTCTTTTTACGCACACCAATTTTCGGCGTCTTATTTTTCTATAGAAAAAAAATCTAATCTCGAGTTGAAACTATTAGCATCAGTATGAAACTATCATAGTCATGAATAGGAGCAAGATTAGTGTATGCTTACGTTAAAATTACCTTTTCTTTAACTTTTATACCAAATGTATACCTACTTTGTATTTAACTTGAGAGTACTTATGTTATAGGTGTAAATTTAAATTTAAACTCGATTTAATATTAGCCTTAACTTCAATTTAAAACTATCTTATGGGTCTATTTAGAATTGGTTTTATTTAGATTAAATATAGTTTAAGTTCAAATTGAAAATAATTATTATATATGTTAATATAGCTTGTCTTTTATCGGAGTAAAACTATTTTTTAATTGAGACATGTAGTTTAAGGTTTAAATAAGAATATACTGGGCTTGTATTTTTATATGTTAATATTGAAATTAGGTCTTGCTTTAGGTTAAATTGAATTATGGGGCATTCCACGTTACTCGGTAATTTGTGTCCCGCCCGTCACAATTAAAAATTGTGAGTAAAAACTACAAGTTATAAAATTAATATTTTATAATATTATTTTTATTGTGCTTATAACTTATTAAAAGCATAATAAAACAATATTTTTAAATAAATTTTATAACGTGTAGTTTTTACTCACAATTTTTAATTGTGAAGGGCGGGACAAAAATCCCCGAGTAATGTGGAATGTCCCTTATACTTACTGTAACACTTATCATACTTATCTTTTTTTTTTAACTTCTTTATTTTTAGATTACTATATTTATTTTTAAATGAAAACTAACAAAAAATAATATGGAACGATTTATTTTCTAAATAAAAATACAATATTTTCTAAATAAAAACACAAATTCTTAATACATTTATATAGGGTCTCTGATAATAAGTAAAATTTTATACACTCTAAACTACCTACTGCAATATACATCAAAATAAGACTATACATGTTTAGTACACAGTGATAATACCTAATAGGTAAACAAAATATTTGTATAGCCACCAAATGTCATTTATGCTTCGTTGTAAAGGGTAAAACAATACAAATGACTTTATGATGTGAAAAAATATCAAATATTTTTTTGTACTATGGTCAGGATACCCCCATGTTCTAAGCAATTCCTCCATAATGGGTATTTCAGAAATACTATTTCTTTAAAAAATAACACAATCACCACCACAGAACAAACCACGGCACAATAATTACACAAAACAGGTCCACGCGCATCGGAAGTTTACTTAATTATGCCAAAGAAGATTGATGCCGCCCTCTTTGAAGAACGTATTTTTCGCGGTTCTTTTGTTATGCTCAATTTGAAGATAGAGTACGTTTTTATTATTAAAATAATGATAGTGTCACTTTTTTTATTGGAATGATTATATGTAAGGATGTTTTAAGTATAAAGCAAGTGTTCACAGGGATGTTTTGTTATTATTATAGCAAAATTTAGTTATCTTTGATATACATAAAAATATATATTTTTATAATCAATTTAATGATTATATTTAAGAATATATTATACTTGCTATGAATTAATTTTGGTAACAGAATAAACCTTATTTGTATTAACCTAAACCTAATTATTTGAAAATATGTTATTTGTTCAAATTGATATTAGATTTTTTTGTGTGTAGATTATTATTATTATGAAGCTTATAAGCTAAGTAAAACTAGTGTCAATAAATAGGAATTAATTTTATTTTAATATGGAAAAGAAAGCTAGACCGGGCCGAGTTCTAGTAAAATGCTCATTATGTGGATCTGTGTTTAACAAGGACTAGAAAAAAATGCATGAGAAAAATATTCACGGTGGAAATTTGGTTAAAATTAAAATTGTTGCTGTTCCGGATAATCCATTTACATTGGCAGCAAGTCAAAAAAATAGAGAACGAGAATCAATCCCATCGACTTCAAAAGAGCATGCTAATGGTAGGTAGAGACATTCTTTATCTACACTTTACGGCACTTTACATACATGATAAAATTACTGAAAATGTTTACTATTACTACTAAAGTATCGATATAAAAATAAGTTGGTTTTTTTATCGTCTCCACCCCCCCAAAAAAGTGTGCCTCGGTACGGCCCTGCCTGTGCATTATTTTGTACTTTTTTAATACCAATGAGTGGTAATTTTTGTTTGTATATTTATTGTTTATAAATACCTGTACATTGGTTTGTCGTACCTAGTTTGTACTATTTAATACCAATGTGTATGTTAATTAATTTTTATATATTTATTTTTTGTTCATGGATACCTGTGCATTGTTAGATACGTACCGTACCTTATTTTTTACTATTAAATACCAATGTTAATTGTGATTTATGTTTTGTTATTTATATTAGCATCTACACAGTAAAAAATATTAAGCGGGTAAATTGTATTTCATTGTGGTAAAAATTGTGAGTGTATATTTTTACACTGTTGTGAATATTATTTACTATTATTTAACACTCAAATGAACTATGAGTACGGGTTAATTTTAAGCGGGTATTTATTATTAGCTGGGTGTTAAAATTAAAATTCCATGAGTGTGAAACACGATCGTGTTACAATTAAGAAAACCTTTTTGAGTGTAAATAGTATTTCTGAAGGCAGATTTACACTCAAGCTGTTAAATTACACGCTCTATAGTGTGAATCCCCATCCCTAGACGCACGAATTACACTGAAAAAAATGAATACATGTACACGTAATATTACATGAGTATTTACCCTTTAGATACCGAATATTTATAATGAATTGATAAATATACATTAAAGCATAAGTAAATGTAAAGTATTCTGTATAAAGAAATGTTTTATTTAATTTGAGTGTGTAACCTTAGGTAATATATGTAAAAATATATATTTTATCACTGTAATCGGACATTTTAAAGTGTAAAAATACATGCGTCTCATACAATTACATTTTATTAATAAAAAAATTCAATTTAGAATCTGCTATAAACGTCTATTTACATATGCAATGTTTATTTTCATATTTATTAATCCTAAAAATCAGTGACAATTGTGATCATCTTTATAATTCACCAATAGCAATCAAGATAAGCAGGCGTATACCGCAGTGCATGCGCGAAAAGACACGTGCTCCCATCATTCTGGAAAATAATTTGTGCCGACTTGTGGTAATAACCTATAGAACGTTTAAATTTACTTTTAACTATAAGTTAAATAAATAAGTGACCAAGTTATCGAAATATTTGGTAAGTATTTATATTTATTTTTCTTGTTTTAAAATTATTAAGTGCAATTTTTGTAAAGTAAATATTAAGAGTTTAAATAAATATAACCTGCATTTATATTATCATAGAAATAGTCAACTATGTCGCTTTAAATGTCTCTACAAAAATTGCAATCAAATATTTACAAAATACTCTGTTTTTAAAAGTCATATATATAGAAAACATAATTCAATTAATTTAATTCAAAATGATTTGTTATATTGCTGCACAATACCCGGTTGCATATTTAAAGGTTATACAAAAAAAGTGTATCAGTACACGTTTGCAATCATATAAATTGTGGAAAAGAAGTTGCTTGTCCTTTTTGCTCTGATTCTAATAAATTATATAAAAAATCTGTAAATTTAAGAAAACCATATTTTAAGACAACATTCAAATTTAACAATAAAAAATCCATCATTTTCATTTAATAAATCTGAAAATAAAATCGTTAGTGAGGAAAATCAAAATATGGACACATGAAAAATCAGATATATCCGAAATCCTCGATAATTCTCATACAAGTCTCACAAATTTAAAAAAATTATGTCTTAAAATATTGTCTAACTTACATTTAAATTTAGAAACCAAATTTCATGTAACCGATAAAGCTCAGTATGGAACGCCAAAGTATTTTATACTATATGCTATTTAGATGAACAATTAATATGTCGTATATTTCAAAGAAACCATTATGTGGGTACTATTTATTTGCAATTTCAAAAATGCCTCGAAAGCTTTAAACTTAATTTTTATTTACCTACATTTTCAACTAAACTATAATAATGAAGTGACTGTTTTTATTTCTATATTTAAAATAACTACAGAGCATCGAATTTTTTATTATGTATATAAAATAAAATTAATTATATTTTTTATCAAGTTATTTAAGAACATCATAGCATTACTTGGCATCGAATTATTTAACGGTGTTAAATTAAGTAGGTACCTACCACAGTAAGTATACTACCTATATACCTACCTAAACTCGGAAATCGGGTGTTATTTTTGAGGATGAAAATAATTAATCTGAAAATAATTAAAATGACACCACACCAGAATAATGCTCCTTTCTATTTCGCTTAATTTTTATTAAAACTATTAAAAATGTATTTAAATTATTTTACAGGTTAATGAAAATTTTATATTTACAATTCAATTGAGTTCCCCTGGAAACATCACTTGAATTTTTAATTTAGAAATTGTCTGAATTTCTATGTTAAAAAATACTTGAATTTCAAACTTGGAAATTCATTGAATTTCAAACTTGGAAATTCATTGATTTACCAATATCAAACCTCATACTCCCCTCACTAGACTATACCCCTCTCAGGAATCCCATCTCTAAAGATAGTTCTAATGACCCGTGTTTGTCTTAGGTTAGTTTGTTGTTTACTTTTTCTGTGGTTTCGAATGTTGACATCAGATACTTTAGTTGATATATCTAACATATTAAATAAAACAGGGGGCTTGCAGGGGACGAATGCCCAGGTTGCCATTCTCTGCCAGCGGCGGATTGTTTCAAGAAGGTTGTACGTATAGAAAAACTAGAAATAAGGTCTTAACCTCGAATTTTTCTAGATTTAAAGCTTGAGCAGACAGGAAACAAAAAATAAAATTTTACCCATCAACCTGCCTTTCCCGTTGGTGCGTTCCAAGACAAGATGGAACGTCCATCCCGTGAGCGAATTTCGCTTATTCTGGGTAGGATTCGGAGAGTAATTGGGAATGCTTGTCGCAATTACGACATTGATAAAATTATTGATTCTAACACTGTCTCTGAATTGCGTTCTGCTATGAATAATTTAAGACGCATAAAAGAATATATTACAGAAGACACATTTTCCATGTTGTCAAATGTTATATCTGATATATTTTTGTTGATTGGTAGCAACAGACAAGAAGATGAACAGTATTCAGCCAAGAGATTTTGTTTCAGTAAATAGATTTAATTTGTAAAACCAATATTTTATTTTTGATAAATTTTAGGAACAGGTCGTCCCAGTGTTGTTATATCCACTGGACAATTACAGCTTATGATAAATGAGAATTATACTGTGAAGGAAATGGCTAGTAATTTCAAATGTTCACAGAGTACTGTACGTAAATATTTAAATCAAAGCCATTTGAGTATTCGTGGTAAATACAGTACCATTGGTGATGAAGATTTGAAACAAATTATAAGAGAACAATCTTTAAGTCACCCCAATTGTGGCTCAGAGGTAGGTATAATGATTTTGTGATAATTAAAATAGAGTATCTAGGTAGCTACTATCCTGTGTGCATGGTATTATTTTAAAATATAATAATATTATATTATATTATATATTATATTTTATGTTGTATACAACATTAAATTTTTTTATTTCAGATGATGTGGGGCTACCTACGAGCCAAGGGTTTATTTGTGCAAAGAAGGCGAAAGAACCATCATGAATGAGACTGATCCTGTAGGAACTGCTGCTAGATGGTCTACATCTATAGTACGAAGAAGTTACAAAGTACCTACACCAAATGCACTGTGGCATATGGACGCAAATTTGAAACTAAGTCGGTTAGTCATTTTTCATTTGTACAATGGGGGATACGTTGGGATAAAGAAACTTGAAAACTAGTGGAGATATGGAAAAATAGATAGTGTTTTCTTGATCTATTTTCTTAGTTTCTCTATCAAAACATTCAAATTTACCCACCCTGTAGTTAACCTCTACATAGTTGTTGTTTTTAGTTGGGGACTGATAGTACATGGATGCGTTGATGGATACAGTCGGCTTATTATATATTTATCTTGCAAGATTTCCATGCAAGCTGGTCCTGTTTTGGATCTCTTTGTGAATGCTACGGCAGATTATGGATTACCATCCAGAGTAAGATCAGATCATGGTTATGAGAATGAATTTGTCGCCATCTTTATGAATTTAATAAGGGGGTTAGGACGTGGTAGCCATATTACAGGCAAGTCAGTTCATAACCAACGCATTGAACGCTTGTGGAGAGACGTGTACAAAGAAGCTCTGCAGAAGGTATACAATGAACTGTATAAGATGGAAGATGAAGGGGTGCTTCAAGTTGATAATGACAGACACAGATACCTTATTCAGCTCATTTACCTACAATATACAAATGAACTACTGACAACATTCAAGTTGGCATGGAATTTCCATAAAATCCGTACAGCAAATAGAAAAAGTCCAAGACAAATTTGGATGGATGGAATGTTGAACCATTTTAATGGTAACCAAACAGCTGTGTCTGAAATATTCCACCAAGAAAACGACGATATTTTTGAGCGTACTAGAGCAGCTTTAGAAAGAGTTGTTGATGCTAATGAAGATGTAGAACCCAATGGGTCACAAGAACCTTCTTTATTTGAAGCACAAATTGAAGTTACAGATGATCAAAAACAGCAAATTGAAGTGATTATGCAAAGTAATCTTGAACGTCAAGAAAAATTTGTTCAGTGCCTAAACATTTTATTGTAAGTTTATAATATAAATAAATTAAATTTGACTTCATTATAATTAATATATTATATATTAATATTATATTGTTGTTCAAAGTACCCAATATAATTTATAAAAATTTATATACAGTATGTCTCAGTATCTTGGAATCATATGGAAAACTTTTTTATTATTTATTTTAGGAAAAAAAGTTATTCTTTATAAAAAGTTCTGCATGGTGTAAAACTTAAAATGCAACCCACAAATATTATTTTTTTTTAGTCGTATACGAGGTATGTCAAAAAATATGAATTTGGCGCAGGAGTAAAGTACCTTTATATTTGACAATATCAAAAATTGTTATAAAGAAAAGTTAATCAGAACTAAAAACTACGTTTAAACATGCAATTTCATACATTTACATTAAAAAATTAGGTTTTGTTAATTTTTACCAATCTTTCTATTTTAAATGAACATTTATCTGTTATGATTAGAAAAAACATGAAAACCTTAAGTTAAGTCAGGGGATCTAGCAGGCCAAAAAGTTTTAGAATATCAACAAATCATTTGTTTATCAGTGAATCCTAGATTACATGTTACAGTTAAATTTGCATTGATATTGTAGACAAAAAAGAAAAAATATTTTTTTTTTAATGTAAATGGATGTAATTGCATATTTGAACGTAGTTTTTAGTTCTGATTAATTTTTCTTTATAACAATTTTCGATATTGTCAAATATAAAGGTACTTTACTCCTGAGCCAAATTCATATTTTTTGACATACCCCGTATACGACTAAAAAAAAATAATATTTGTGGGTTGCATTTTAAGTTTTACACCATGCAGAACTTTTTATGAAGAATAACTTTTTTCCTAAAATTAATAATAAAAAAGTTTTCCATATGATTCCAAGATACTGAGACATACTGTATATACAGGGTGTTTTATAATATATGCGCAGGACTTCAGGATGTGATAGCTCATCCAAAAAGATGAAAAAAGTCGCTATTAACTTACCCTCTAAAATGCACAATTTTCGAGATACAGGGTGTTGAAATTTTAGAAAAAAAATCGTTTTTTCGAATATCTTTGGAACCGTTTATCGTACAAAAAACAGCTTTTGTAAGCATTTTTTACTCATAATAAGCTATGTTTTGTGCCAGAAAAAATTTTTTTTACTCATAATTGGTGGAGATTTTGAAAGGGTAGCGGGTGTTTTTCTCCTCAACTTCTACGCCCCTGAAAAAAGTACGGTTTTGAGAGGCCCATTTGAACCGCCAATGTTTTCTACACAAAAAAGGTACTCTTGGTCATAAGCTCTAAAGTTGACCGTTTTCGAGAAAAATCGACTTTTATGTTTAAAAACTTGGTCAATTTTTTAAAAAAAAAATTTTTTACTAATTAAAAAAAATTTATTTTAACGTTAGAACAAGTAACAAAACCAAACGATAATTGCAGAATAAAAAAAAAATGATTTTTTACACAAATGCTGAAATGTGCGAAATGCGTTACCTTTAAGGTTTGGAGAATTTTGCAAAGACAACTTTTGAATCATTTTTTTTTAAATTTGCAATTATCGTTTGGTTTTTTTACTTGTTCTAACGTTAAAATAAATTTTGTATAATTGGTAAAAAAAAATTTTTTTCAAAAAATGTTTTTAAACATAAAAGTTGGTTTTTCTCGAAAACGGTCAACTTTAGAGCTTATGACCAAGAGTACCTTTTTTGTATAGAAAACATTGGCAGTTGGAATGGGCTTCTCAAAACCGTACTTTTTTCAGGGGCGTAAAAGTTAAGAAGAAAAACACCCGCTACCCCTTCAAAATCTCCACCAATTATGAGTAAAAAAAATTTTTTTCTGGCACAAAATATAGCTTATTATGAGTAGAAAATGCTTACAAAAGCTGTTTTTTGTACGATAAACGGTTCCGGAGGTATTCGAAAAAAACGATTTTTTTTCTAAAATTTCAACCTGTATCTCGAAAATTGTGCATTTTAGAGGGTAAGTTAATAGCGACTTTTTTCATCTTTTTGGATGAGCTATCACATCCTGAAGTCCTGCGCATATATTATGAAACACCGTGTATATATTAGAGAAAGAAAATACATTTGGATTTTTTGTAGAATGTCTAACATAAATACTCAAATTTTACCTAAATAAAATTGGAAAGGTGTATGTACAATAAATAAAAATATTAAAATTTAAATTTTTTATTGCTTTCAACGATTTATTATAATTTTTTTATTTTAATCAAAGTATGGAACGCCAAAGCATTTTTTAATAATATATGCATTTTAATATTAACCCTAAAATGAAAAATAAATCCTAAAAGAGTGAGACCAAAATCTGTCTGTTTTTTGGAATTTAATAGCGACCTTGAGAGTAAAGATTAATAAATTTAGCATGTATTAAATTAATCCTCTTCAAAAATCAGGAGAGGCATTACTTTAATTTTTTTAAATTTTCAAATATTACCCCTACTAAGGGTACATCCTTTTTTTTTCAATTAGTACGTATCATAGGTAAAGCAGTCCTCTGATAACAGGTACGCATCAAGTTCTTGATTAAAATCATATTGTGTCTCATATAAAGAACTCAATGTTAACATTTGTGCACAAGTGGCGACAATGGGTCTTCTTTCAATACCTATGTGAGTATTAAAATCAATTAAAATTTTATCAGGCAGCTGTACTGACCCTGTTACAAACAATAAAAATTTTTGAAGGGCTTTCATATTCAACCCCAGCAGGTAATTCTGTAAGAAATAGAATACTTGATCCTGTTCATTGGTGGGAGTGTCAGGTACCATACTCAGGACATTAACAACCTTTTTAGGGTTTGCTTGGAGACTTTTCCAATAAAGAACTGTGTCTTCAAAAGGAATGTTACTTAAATATTCTTCAATGCTCTTGGGCAGTCCTTCCTTCATTTTTTTATAAAGATCAGATGTATTTTTAATAATTGTATTTTCAGCCAATAACAGCATGTGTTCTTTGATGTCCTTTTTATTTGGACTGACGTTCAGAAGACCATATGTCGTGTACAAGGTCATCAGTCGATTTTTATCATTGGTCGTTAATTTTTCAAAATCTTTTAATGCCCCTCTTGCCAAATTTCTTTCTGGCAGAGTAAGAAACAAGAAGAAATCGTTAAGAAGTGCATTTTCGTTGTGTACATAATCATCCGTTTTATTCGACAGGGCAGTCAAAGTGTACAAACATAGTGATGGTGGAATTTTTCCAGTCAACAGAAGCATGTGTCCTAAAATTTTTCCTAGGGTCACAAGTTTCGGCTTCAACTCTCTTGACTTGAATAGCTTGATGTAAGGAACTACAACATCAGTCCCCAAAAAAAAATCGTTGCTTTCAAAAATTCTTTTCCAAAAAATGGTGAAGACTTCATTAAGCAGGCCACCGCCATCAACTCCCACTTCACCCTTAAATTTTACTGATAAACGTTTTCCAGTGATATCTTCTGCTTCATTGTCGTACAAAGCGAACATTTCAATCACGACGTCATCTCTCGAAATGTCGAGACAAAACATATCTGATTCAGAATCCAAGGTTGGAAATACCACTAATAATGGATCTTCGGAAGCTGAAATCAAAATTTCCTATAAAGATGCTGTATCATTTTTTATTAAATAAAATATCTTTACAGTGGTGGCTGGTGTATTTTGGGTTTACCAATATCTCAGTTATTAGACTTGGGACCCAAACCAAATTTATAAGAGTTTATAATAGCATTAAATAAATAAGTTTTGCGCAAGCAGAATTTTAATTGAAATTTTCGAAAAAGTTAATTTTTCAGCGTGCCGTATGTAATGCAATTTATAATTTACTCTCGAATTAACTATAGTTTATAGACAAATTTCAAAATGTATCTAAAAAATTCAATTTTTACTAAAATAAAAAATAAATAAAAATGGTATAAAATCTGTATATGTATAAAGTTTCACTTTTAATTAACATCTTTTGGAGTGCTTTTCAAAACTTGTAAGTGTCCAAAAAGTAAGGTTACCATACATTTTGCCTTATTTCTTTTTTACTCTTAATGGAATGGTTAACATTTTTTTAAATTTAATAGCTTAATTAGGAGCCCTACATAAATTACGTAAGACGATTTTTGCATTTTTTTGACCCTATAATTCTTACCATTTCATTTTATCGGGTTTTATGTAAAAAACTACGATTTTAATAGACCGCTACCTATATTTTTTAAATGATATTTATTTTACCCCTCCACCCCCAACGTAAGCATAACAAGATCTATTATGACCACCCCTCTCTCCTTTTTGCCTTACGTAATTTGTGCATGGCCCCTTAGTTTGTAAGCTTTTTCTCTTATAGAATAAAGAACAAAATTGCAATTTTTGAATTTTAATAACATTTTAACCCAAAAAATGGCTTAAGAAGCAGCTGCTATTTAAATAGTGGGTGTTTTGTGTGGGTGGGACCCCACCAAATAATACCCCACAATCAGTTTTTTTAGGACATTCTGAAAAACCTATACCTTATTTAAGAACGGTGTGAAAGTTTTAGGAATTTCTATAGGGTTGTTATTACAAAAAACGTTTGTTTTTTAACTCTGCATCAGATGACATTACAATATACTCATTGAAAATAAGAAAGATTAAATACATTAAAATTTTAAGTTTGACTCTAAATTTTGGACACACTGTATAATTTCGATTTGGACTGCTTAATGTGTACCTTGTACCTTGTATTAATAGGGCATTATTTTTATTTTTATTAAGATTATTAATTATTAAAAACTAGTAATGATTAACCAATTTGTTTATAGTTATTATTTTTTCTGAGTTATGTAGATAACCACAAGAGGCACCCAAATGAGCAAAATATTTAGCACCAAAACAAATTACTAATAGCTATTTTTGATAGCATTTATAAAATTCGCCTTGTTTTACTTCATCAAGGTTGTGTTGAGTTCTAAATAACTAAAAATTTTTACTCACTTAGAGGCTCCTCCATGTTTTCCAGTGGATTGTCATCGTAGCTATCCATCACATTAAAATCATCGTCAAAATGGAATTCTGCCTCGTGGCTCGTAATTGTATGTGTTGTTGTTGGCTGATGACTTGGTCCAGGTATGGGTTCTGACACCATAGTGACACTGTCATCTATATTAATAATATAATAAATCAAAAATTGGACATACAAAATAGATCAAAAAATGTTTAAATTCACTTTATTGTGTGATTTAAAAGGTTATGGGTCTTAAAAAAATTAACTCCATATTGCTAGAAATAATTAAAATAACTGCATTGTTTATGAAAAAAATAAAATTTGGCAAACATAATAAGAATATTTTGGGGATTAAATTTAATAAGAATATTTTGGGGATCAGTATTGTAATGCAATGTCTCAGTAATGACTGTGTATCCATCTTTGACTTCATGTGAGACATTGCATTACATTACTGATCCCCAAAATATTCTTATTAAATGTCAATATTTAAATATTTTTTCAGGAAATAGCTTTCATGGCATATCCTTGGCTTATGGTAAGCTGCTTGCTTTTGAAAACACAAGTTTTAAATCACCCTGCATATCATAAACATGGCAAAGTCCTATCATCCATACGAAAAAAGTCCACTTTGACATTTCAATGAGGAATGCAGTCACTGATCCATATAACACACTGGATAGCAGTAGTGGGTGGGTTCCAATTTGCCATAATTTGATAAGCATAAAGCATAAAGAGTTTTTCTATGGTTTTGTTATATACATAGTATTACAAATCGATCAAGGCAGAACGGCATAAGCGCCATTTTTAAATTCCGAGTAATTTGGGTAAAATGTGTTTCGAGGAGAATACTAAAAACCGCAAAGTATATCGCGGGTGCACGAGCAATATCTCCTATCTCGATTTTGGTCAAAATTAGATTTATGCCTTTCTATTTTTAAAATGAAACTTCTCCTAGAAATAAGGAAAATACATTTTTTTAAATTTATTTCTGCTGTAAACTATGCTGAATATGAATTAGGAGAAATTGCTCGTGCACCCGCGATATGCTTTTTGTCAAAATTTACCAAAAAAAACGTAAACAGAGTAAAAATGGAGGATATGTCATTTAAAATGACGTTATGCCGTTTATAACACTTATGACTTCAGGATTTTGAAAACATTTTTTTAAGGCGCAACTTTAAACCGCATTAATGGATACATACAAACATTTTTGAGCTAAATATATAGATATCCCTTATAAGGTTCTTTTGAGAGAAGGCGCTTTTGCCAATCCAATGCAACTAAAAACTCAATTTTCGAAAAAATGGCGCTTATGCCTTGAAAGCATCGAAATATGCATTTTGTGCATGATGTAATATTATTTTTTCTACTTCCACCTTTAAAATTCCCATTATCGTACATGTTTCCATGACACTAAGTGACCTTTTAAATACACATGGAAAAGTTGTGGCTTTATGGCGTTTTAGTCACGAGCTGAAGTTATCAACAAGTTTTTAGTCACGGACTGAAGTTAGTTTTAAGTTAGTTGACAGTTCTTAAATGTCATTCAATCGTTAAAAAATAAAGTGCCCTTCTTGTAAAATAATATTAAATGTAAAAATTATTTTATTATCTTAACACAAAAATACAAAAGTATTAAATAGTTTCTCAACGCCAATATTTGAAAAGTTTATATAACATTGTACTGACCTTTTAATTTCACCGGCAGTAAACTACATTAATTTAATTTCGGGTGAAGACTCCACTCTGGAGTGCCAATAAAACATTTTCTTTACTTTTACTGTAAAAAACTCTTTCTATATTCGATTAAACGGTTCATTTTAAGGAATACAATTTGATTTACAAATAAAAATTTGACATTTAACATAATACAAATTTTTAAGTTAGTAATTCTATTGTTTCAAAGATGTCGTTCTATACAAATATTAAATTTTAATCATTTTAGATAATAATAAGTGTTTATCGTAGAAAAAGTATAGTATGCAACTCGTTTATAAACTTTTCTAGGCACTCATTTAATTAAGCACTCGCTTACAAGCCCCCTCGTGCCTAAATTAAATTCGTGCCTAAAATGGCGTTTATCAAACTTTATACGTAATATACTATTATATCAAGCTTTATATATAAAATAATATTACATCATGCATATTTGTAATACTATGGTAGGATTCAAACCTATCGCCAGAACTAAGTTAGTAACTTTTAGCTGTTAGGTTTGCTGAAAAAGCCAACATTTTGAAAACTCTGATTTTTAAAAGTATGGTTATGCAAAGGCTTGAAGTGCAACTTGTTAGTTTTTGTCGAATTTACCGATAGAATAATCATCTTCAATAGGGTGGTTTTGGTTGGTGAGTGGGCCTGGATTTGGTTTGATTTTTTAAAATTTTTATTCAGATTTATGCATGTTAAACATGCCATGTTTTTGACACAGGCAACACTGCTTGTGGAAATATGCAAAATTAGGTTCGCTATGCAGACTCTTGTTACTTTATTATAATAAAATATTTTCTTTAATATTAATTATGTAATTATTTAATTATTATAGTTTTCTTGACAACATAAATAAATAAAATACAGAATTACAATAAAATACATGTAACACTACTTTTTAAAACCAGAGTTTCAAAAATTGTTGACTTTTTTGGTAAACTCAACAGCAAAAAGTTACTAATTAGTAACTTTTTGCTGTTGAGTTTACCAAAATTAATTTAGTTCCGGCGATAGGTTTGAATCCGACTATATGTATACAGGGTTGGGCAAAAGTATGGAATAATGGAAATAATTTTTTTCTGCTCAGGTCCTGCAAAAAACGCTAAGACATGTCAAATTTAGTTTTTTCCAAGGACTATTTTAACATTTTTTTTTATTTTTTTACCCCTCCCCCTTTTACAGAATGACGTAACTGTCAATTTTTTTAAATGGAACCCCCAATTATTTTTTCAGAAATGGAGAGACCATCAATTTCTGATTTTAAAAATATGCATATTCAGTATGTTTGGACTTATAAATACTTTTTAAAATAATAATATTTTTTATCGACAAGAATCGGTGTTTTTTTAACAAGTTGATAGAAATGTGTAGTATTTTTAATTACCGGAGAGTGCCTATATGCATTAAAGTACTGACATTTTTTTTATTCTAACTGAGGCAATCACATTGTGAATTTTTAAAACCAAACTTTATTTTGCTACATAACCAATATTTTTATTTATAGAAACAACATCCATTAGGAAAATAATTTAAACGGTAAATGTTTATCCCCTTAAATGCTCAAAATGTCTACCATTATTTTGACTACATAATTGCAATCTCTCTATAAAAGACCGCCTCACATTTCCAAATACTTCATTTCCTACTTCTCTCATTGCTGCCGTGATTCTAGCTCTCAGATCGTCTAAGTTATTTGGCCGTTCCTTGTACACTTTGTCTTTAATATGACCCCAAAGAAAAAAATCACAGGGGGTTAAGTCAGGTGACCTTGGTGGCCACTCTATCTGTCCTCCACGTCCAATCCACCTTTCCGAAAATACTTCGTCCAAATATTCTCTCACTACTCGTCCAAAATGAGGGGGTGCCCCATCCTGTTGAAACCATATAGTGTTGTCATTTGGATACAGGGCTTCTATTGCAGGGACAACGTTATCAGTTAATAGAGCCAAATATCTCCCCATCGTTAAATTGCCTTCTATGAAGAAAGGTCCGATAATTTCGTTTCCAATTATGCCTGCCCAGACATTAACTTTTTGAGGTCGTTGGGTGCGAAATTCGATCATCCAGTGAGGGTTTTGCTGGGACCAATATCGACAGTTATGTCTATTGACAGCTCCGTTTAGCATAAAGGTAGCCTCATCAGAAAACAAAATTTTATTTAAAAAGTTTTGATTTTCCTGCCACATGCGCTGCATAACTTCGCAAAATTGTAGCCTCCTATTAAAGTCATTTTCAGTCAATTCTTGTGACAAGTCTGTGGGTAAAAGGCATAAGGGGATAAGTCAAAAAAAGCAATTTTTCAGCAGAGCCTTAAACGTGTTCCCATTAATTTAGGAAATATATTTATGGTTAGCGGGTATACCCTTTTGGTAGCATATGACATGTGCTACCAAAAGGGTATACCCACTATCCATAAATATATTTCCTAAATTAATGCGAACACGTTTAAGGCTCCACTGAAAAATTGCTTGTTTTGACTTATCCCCTTATGCCTTTTACCCACAGAAGTGTACTTTGTAAGGGTGAAATTTTTCTTTTTTTAAAATTCTACCAACTGACCTTCTTGAAATATTATGGTTTCGTGCAAGGTCGCTGGTGGATGTTCTTGGAGCATTTTCTATTTCTAACAAAACATTCAATGCCAAATTTTCGTTGGTGGCTGTTTTGGGTCGGCCTGATTTTTTTGCGTTTTGCACACTTCCGTTTTGTCTGTATTTCTTAATTACTTTGGATATACAAGATTGCGAAATCGGGGCATGGTTGGGATAGGCTTCATTAAATAAGCGGCATACTTCTTGCTGCGTTCTCTTCCGGTCTCCAAATCCAACCATAGTTAGGATATCAGTCCTTTCTTTTTCAGTCAATTGCACCATTTTTCCTTTGACTTTTAAGTAAATCTGAATTTTAAAAAACTTTTTTCTAAAGCACTGCTTCTTTCAAAATAGCGAAAAATTGACAGTTGTCATGTATTTCAACTTGGTTACCAGCCTGTTTTGTTTTTGTCAAAGACAACTGCGATTTTTTGTGTAAAATTAAAATAAATTTACTTGTCCTATTTTTTCAACTTAAAAAGTTATTATTTTAGAAACTATAAGTCCAATCAGACTTAATATGCATATTTTTGAAACCAGAATTTAATGGTCTATCCATTTCTGTAAAAAAAAATTGGGGGTTGCCATTTAAATAAACTGACAGTTACGTCATTCTGTAAAAAAGGAAAAAGGTATAAATATGAAAAAAATGTCAAAAAAATCCTTGGAAAAAACTAAATTTGACGTGTCCAAGCGTTTTTTGCAGGACCTGACCAGGAAAAAATTATTTCCATTATTCCATACTTTTGCCCAACCCTGTATAACAAAACCATAGAAAAACTTTGTTTATATTCACTACAATATGGCCAATTAGAACGCGCTTCTTTATGATAAATATTTATATATTATATTCTATTTGCTATCTAGTGTTATATGGATCAGTGAATGCAGTGGAATTATATCAACACCTAATAGGTAGAGGGGCCCAATCCACCAATTTTAAGGAAACTAGATTTTTATTAATATTAATATAGGTAGGCTTTCTGCGTTGTTTAAACGAACCCTGGAAGTAATATTACAAGCTTAAATAGGAAAAAAAGTTTAATAATTGTATTATTGTCCTAACCAACAATCTATTCAATCGATTCATTATATATTATTAATTTTCAGAATTAAACTGGGCCTAACCAACACAATTTAAAACAAATCCTATTTTCTAAGTTATTTTTTGTTTTAGCATCGACAAATTTAGCAATGCAACCAAGAAATAATTTTAAAATAGAAAATAATATTTCAAAATATTTTGACAATTCTTTTTTTGTTGTTTCTCACTAATTCTATTTTTGTGGATTAGGCCCCTCTGCCTATTAGGTGTCAATTTACCTATTTCAAAGTATAGTCAACGAAACAAATTTTTAAGTAAAATATAAATTTATTTAAAATTTCTTTTGTTGACTGTACTTTGACAGATAGGTACTTAACCTTAAGGGGCGGTTCATAAATTACGTAACGCTGTTAGGGGGGAGGGGGTCCATGAAAACGTGACAAGTTGTGACATGGGGGAGGGGGGGTTTACATCAACTGTTACGTAACGTTGGTTCAGTTTTAATGAAAATTCCCATTTTTTTATAATTTAAAAACTTACCGGCAATTTTTTTTTCTGAATACATCCTGTTCTAAATGGGGGAGGTGTTGCAATTTGTGACGTAATTTATTTAGGAGGGGTGACATTAAACGTGACAACATGTGACAAAGGGGGGAGTGGGGTCAAAAAAGGTCAAAATTTGCGTGACGTAATTTATGAACGGCCCCTAATGTGTTCATAAAACTGTGTTCCTTAATAAAATGTCAAAGTGGGCCTTTTTGGTATATTGATAGTACTTTAAAGTACTATCAATACACCAAAAAGTGCACTTTGACATTTCATTAAGCAAATTCTACTACATAGCTACTACCTACTTTCAAAGTCAGAATCTGTGAAAACAGTGGGGATTTCATGCTTTTGGTCATTATATTCAGGGTCATCTGTCCATATGAAAGGTAAATCTGAAGGAAGATCTTTTTTAGGTATGACAACAATCATTCCAGTTCCCAATGATTTTTCGATGTCCTGAGGCTCTAACCTATCATCTACTTTTTTCAAAAGTTTTTGACGGTTGCTTGTTGCAATGCTGAAATCAGATATCTGTAACAGATTCTTCACATGTGGATCAACTAGTTTCAAAATTGCCCCCTTAATTTGCTCCATCACCCAGTGCCGTTTAATAACAACCATTTTGTTTAGTAAGCCTATAACATAAAATATTTAGTATGATAATTTGCTATAAAGATTAGTAATTATTGTAGTTATAATTGCCTAAACCCTTCTTTTTTAAATACTTTTGCTCATATAAGGGTGGAAGAAAGTCTGCTCTACTCAATCGTATTACAAGAACTTTCTTTGAATAAGAATTCTTCTTCTTTCTACCCCTCCTGGTGGGAGTGGAAGTGGATGCACTTGCATTCGGCCTAAATTGTTCCCTGGTAGCCTGAACTATGTTTGGAAACCTCTCGGGAAACCTTTCTTCCCTTGATGGGGTTGCAGCCGCTGCTTGAGCAGCTTGCATTATTCGATTAGCTATGGAGTTGTAGCTTGCCATCACTTAATTATCTTGTATACAACATTTGAACTTTCTTCAGAATTCCACAAAATTAAAGCACATTTTCACAAAGCCGGTGGTATTACTAACCTAACCACAAAACATATGCCACGTGCCAATTTGGCGCCAAAAGTGACTGCGAGTGTTGCCAAACCTCTTCGAACATTTTATCGGTATACATCACGGAGGTATACGTATACAGTCCGACCGTTTTATTATATTTTATTCGCTGTATCTATTCTCACGCTAACGTGAGAATATTTTCAAAATTATTCTCACGCTATTTTGTATTTTATCTACGATAGTTTTAGTGCAAAAATCTGAACGAAAAAAAATCAAACCAAATTATAAATCCGTCAAGTTTATAAATCAGGCACTATTTTATTGATACATCGTATATCTGGCAACACTGCGCGGGTCATGAGAACTACCCCTTCTTTGGAACTACCGTTAGACTCTAACGGTTAGAGATGGGAGTTTGACGTTTGATATTGGTAATTAAATGAATTTATAAGTTTGAAATTCAAGCATTTTTCAATATATAAATTTAGGCATTTTCTAAATAAAAAATTCAAGTGGTGATTCCAGTAGCACTCAAGAGGATTGTAAATGTAGAATTTAAAGCGCAAAATTATTTGAAAACATTTTATATAAAAAATTAAGTATTGTTTAAATTAAAATAGAGGTGTTAAAGAATATTTCCAGCCATAATAATATCTATAATATAATTTCAAAATTAAAAAATAATATAATGTACATTAAAAACAAACATTTAAAATTTAAAAAAATAGGTATATGGTGCCTTATTCATTTCACATAGGTATAATTATATTTATATACATTTTAATGTCGCAGTTCCTATTTCAGTGAATTTAAAATCAAAGTTGGTAATCTAAAAAATAATAATTTTTCAAGCTTAAAATATATGTAATCGCGAGTATGACATAATTTTACAAAATGAAAAACATAACCCATGCATCTTTTCCGATCTTGCATTTTATTATTGCACTCTGATAACTGAAATTCGGACCATTTGTAAATTATATGGAAAATGTGTATTATTTATTACAAAAAAACAATTGTTAAAAATAATTTTGTGTTGCGTTAAAGGTTCAAAATATATATTTTATTATAAAGAATATTCAAATAATTTTCAAATTTTTATTTCAAAATCATTTCTAATTGCAAAAATTAGACCAATTTTTTATTCAACCAATTTGAATTTATTATTTTTCTTTTAAATTATTAATTTGTTTACATCATTTTGCTTTTGCCTTTGATATTTAAAATTCCCCATATTTTTGAATTGTCATTTTAAAATATTGCACCAAAGGTTCTGCCATTAATTTGTAATTTAGAATTAGAGCAAAAAACTCTTAAAAGATGGGATTTGTGACCTCTTCCTCTATACAAAAAGGTATATATACAGTAAAACAAAATTTTTAATTCAGTAAATTAAAAATTAAACGTTACTTTTTAAATCATCCAATTTATATTTAAAAAGTTGCAATTTGCTAATAAAAGCAATATTTAATTTTGGTTAAACTTTGATGCGTTTTCATAATTTTCAAATTAAAAAATGCAGAAAATATAACATTCACTATTAATTTGTAAATGTATTTTTTATTTTATGGTTAATATTAAAATGCAGATATTAAAAAATACTTTGGCGTTCCATAGCTCAGCAAATTTTAATTGATGGAATATGTGATGTAAACAAATTAAATATTGAATATCTTCTAACATTTGCAAAAAAATATAATATATCTGAAATAAATGAAGAGTTTCTTTCTGAAAATTTATTTGATAAGTTTTATAATTCAAAGAATGGTCCTTTACGTTCTAATTATTCAAAAAAATCACTATTCAAAAATAATTGAAATTATATCCAGCCAGAGTGTATTTCCTTAGAAACAGGTTCAAAATTTTATTATGTGCCTATTATTCAAACAATTCAAAGTTTATTTAAAAATGACAATATTTTCAAATTTTATTTTTCCTCAAAAACTAACACTAGGGATTTTTGTGATCTAAACGACGGAAGTGGTTATAAAAAAAAATATTTTTTTTCAAAATAATCCAAATGCAAATTATTATGTATCAAGATGCATTTGAAATTTGCAACCCATTAGGTTCTTCAAGAGTCAAGGGGTTTACTTTGTCTTGGGAAATATTCCCCCATGGTATAGAACAAAGGTAGATCAAATTCAACTTTTGGCACTTATTTATGAAAAGGATATAAAAAAAATTGGTTTTGATATTGTGTTTGAAAGAATTATGAAAGATATTTTAATAATGGAAACTGAGGGAATAGAAATTAGAAAAGATATTAAAGTCAAAGGAACAGTTTTATATATAGTGGGTGATAACTAGGGATGGGATTTTAGTTATTTTACCTTTTTTCAACCGATGAAACTATTTGAAAACCAATAATGTCAAAATGTGTTTTAAAAGATTTTCTTTTATATGAACCTAACTTGTTTTCACCTTTTTTACCTTTTTTGGAGGTTTTTGCTTTAAACTACCTTTTTTTATACTTTTGTTGCCTATTTTTTTAACTTGTTTTCACCTTTTTTACCTTTTTTGGAAGTTTTTGCTTTAAACTACCTTTTTATACTTTTGTTACATATTTTTTAATTTGTCAATTTATTTTCACCTATTTGTTATCTATTATTACGTATTTTTACTTATTTTATTTTTTTGTGTTCTTTTTAAATTTTGCCCCAATATTTTATCCAGGCCGTGCAAATTTTTTCTTATTGTCACAGACTGTAACAGTAACTTTCTTTCTTCGTCATAGAACTTCTGTGTAGTGAGTGTCACTCAGTGAAACACAGTTTATTGCATAGAAATAGTTTATTGTGGGTATGTTCTGTATTTGGGTATGCCGCTAAACAAAATTATAAACGAAACGTGAACTTTTAATGTTTTTTTTTACCTAAAATGCTGTTTTTTTAACCTAAAATGCTTTTTTTTAGTACCTTTTTAGTTACCTATTTTTCAGTTTTTAGTACCTAAATATCCCATCCCTAGTGATAACTTAGGAAGTCATCAACTAGGTGGATTTGTAGAAAGTTTCGTATCCTCTGGGTATTTTTGTAGGACTTACATTAATAAATTAGATAATGACTCCATTTCATAAATCAGTTTTTAACAATTTAAATTATTATCATGTTTGCAATCCAGGTCTCCCCCCTTGTTTGGCACATGATTTGTGGTTTCCTATGATATAATGTTATTATTAAAAGCACTTGTAAATCAAAAAATTTTCACGTTTCATGACTTAAACTTTCAATTAAATAACACCACTTTCATTAATGAAAAAAAAATAATTTTGTAATTATAAAACGAGGTGAACGACTACTCGGCACAGCATCACAGAATATGCATTTATTACTAGTATTACCATTTGTTTTAAAGGAGTATCTTAATATTTTACAAGACAACAAATTTTGGAAAATGATTTTAAATTTAAGAAGTATTTGTAACATATTATTGGCATTTGAATTATCTGTGGAGCAACTCGGAATATTACGCAATTTAATATTTGAATATCTAGAAGACCGTAAGGAATTGTTTACGGAAGCTCTGAAACCAAAACACCATTTTCTGTCCCACTATCCCTATTTTGTAAAAACTTTTGGACCTATAAGGCATCTCTGGACTCTTAGGTTTGAAAGCAAACACCAGTATTTTAAAACAATTGTATACAACATTCAACATTCAACAAACTATAAAAATGTTTTGTACTCTTTAGTAAATAAGCATCAACTACTGCAAACATTAATTTTAAATAGCGATTCCTTATATGATGAAAAAGTTATATGTGATGATGCTAATCAATTTAATAATGAATTTTCTCCTGAAATTTTAATAAAACATAAATTAGATATTTCAGACATTCTTATCTCCACCAACGTTTGTTTTCGAGGAATAGAATATAAAACTAATTCTGTAATTTGTTTTAAAAAGAATGATTTTGGATATTACATTTTATGCCGAATTAAATATATTATAATAAATAAAAACCTAGAACCTAGTTTTTTTGGAACCGAAGAGACAATAGTAAAGTATCCAGAAACAGGATTGTTTTATAAAGTAAATAGTACTATCAAAGATGTTTTTGTATCTTTTAATGAGCTAATATGTTATGAACCTTTAATGCAAAGTACAAATGGACTCTGTTTTGATTTTAAATCTGCTCCTTATGACGAAACGTTTAAGTAAAAAAAGAGTATATAATATAGTTGCATTTGTGATAGAGCTAAAACATAATCCCTGCAAATATGCATGGAGTATTTTCTTTTAACTATGGAGTATATCCAAACTACGTTTGAGGGATTTTACGCTTTACAAACAATTGTTTGGCTTCGACGACTGTAGCTGAAATAAATTAAATATTAAAGACCCATAATGGTAGCCTTCAACCCTTGCAATATAATTTATTTTTATTTATTTTAAAAAATAGTATTTTATTTTAAAAATTAACCTTTAGGGTATAAACGGGTATAGAAACTCCACTTATTTTAGTTGCGAAGACAGCTTACATTAAAAGATCTTTTAAATTATCGACGATATTTTAACATATATTTATGTCACCTTCAGGTAGGCTTGCCAGATACTGTCAAAAAGAGGACATTTTGTTTGAATTTACCTTATTTACAAAGATACAATGCAAATTGACAATTTGACGTTACTTGTGTCATTTTTGTGATTAAATTTTTTTTTCACAGAATCTGGCAACTCTATAGAGTTGTATACCTTCCTGGCTCAGTTTTTCACGTTATTATCGTTAGTCATAAAAAGTACAACGACAGCCATATAAACAGTCCTGAAGATGACTTAATATATGTTGAAACGTCGCGACGCGTCAGGCACAATTAAAAACTTTTAATTTATTACCCCTAACAAAAATAAGTTGGGTTACAAAATACTAATCCCAATAAATTTACATTTACATTTTAATAGGTATATTAAGAATTTTATATATTCAATTTGTAACTATGACGTAGGTTGTATGTATAATTCCGAGTATAATTCTTATATTATACCATATTAAATAAGGGATTGTTATGGTAAAATAAATTACTTAGTTTATTTTTTATAAGTAGTTAAAAATATTATTTAGTAGGGAAATGTACTATGTATTCAAATAATTTTTTAAATATTTTTGTAATTCAATTAATAAATAGTTAATGATA